TAAGTGTATTTTACAGGTACTTTTACTTAGATAAAGGATCCAAATGCTTCTTCCAGCACTGACTGGCAGTGTAGCACAGATTGTGTTTTTTTAATGAATTCTTTGGCTGAGCACAAACTACCAAATCAGACACATATAGCACCCCACTAGACAGAGGTCAGGCTTCACTACACTGCAATATACTGCACCTGTTTCCACTGTCGCCATCAAAGTCTGTAATAAAACAACAGTGAATGTATGTTTAGCTCATATCTATGCACACCTGCATCCGGGCAGACGGAGGAGACCACACACATAAATCAGATTAGTAATCTGTCCTTGTCCTCCTTCACAGCAGAGGCACCCATTAATACTTCATTTCATCTCTGCAGAGGTGAACCAATTCAGGAACAACCAAAGGTGACAGCTACACAGTTGCTGCATGAGAAGCTAAAGGAGCTAGGTTTTAAGATCACAGCCTGCACTCTGATTGACAGGCAGGGGAGAGCAAACAAAGGCTGTGCAGTCAGACTGAAGAAATTGGGAGGATTGATCCACATACACAGGCTCAAACACAAGGGATACAACCCCACAGGGTAACATGGCTTTATTAGGAAACATGCAGGCAGGCAAAATATTACATCATGCTTCAACTTCTACTGTGTGTTGTTTGTGTTGATCCCATGGGTGTAGTGTATATCAGCTTCATCCTGCTTGGACAGTGCACTTGTACACTTTGTGTCCTAAATGTCATACACATACTTTAAATGAAATAGAGTGACAAGGTAAATGCTTAAAAATCCTTTCTTCAAATACCAGTCATGCAGTGGAGGTGTAGACTGAGGGGAGAAGACAGCTCAATAACATCTTTTTTAAGTCTTTATACATCTTAGACTGGAAGTGTGTGTGCTGGGTGATAAAAGCTCATAATGGATTGGATTTTTTTTTTTATTTGGTGTGAACTAACTTTATACCAATAGACTGTATTGATATGAAACAAGGCCCCTGAGAGGTATTTAAATGTATTCCTTTTTTTCTAACTTTGACCCTGGGTGACTCAATACTGATTTGAATTTTGCAGCTATATGGGGCATGGAGATGTTAGATTACTCTCCATTTAGCCTTCATTAATGCAGGAAGTTTTGTTAAGCATACTTCCTGTTTATCAGCAGCTCGCTGCCTCACCTCCCCTTCAAACTGTTTCCTACAGTACATTCACAGTGGGAGCCTCTCAGTGCAACCACAGTCTTCTGCTGTGTCCTTGAGCAATTAGATATTGATTTCCTTGCTTTAAGGACCTTGGTGATACAGTCATTGACAAATAGGAGAAATTTACTCTTTCATGGATGTTCCAACCCCCTCAGCCTGGAGAACCAAATAAAAAACAACAGTCTTCTCGTAGCTTTGACAAATGTCCAGCAACTGCTTAAATCACTTAATCATGTTTCCATGGAGACCACTGGAGTGAGGATGTTCTGTATGTTTACCAGACAAGGTATAAATGTTTGGATAAATAATTGATGCGTAAGTAAGAGCACAGGTTGAAACCCATGGTGGAGAGAGAGAGAGAGAGAGAAGGAAAGAAACAGAGGGAGAGCAGTGATGATGAATGGATATTTACCTGGCTGTGTTTGTTTTTGTCGAGACTTGGGGTTCTTTGCATTATTTGCTCAATTTATTTCAAGTTAGACTTACATATTAAAGCAAAAATGTAGCAACACCATTGATATGGTTCTGTTGCCTCTTTGGCAATAAAATTGTTAGATATTTTGATATCAATTTTGGTTTCAATAAGCCTCAGTGTTTACATAGAAATGTATCTTTGCAGCTAGATCTATTTCTAATTATCATTTTTCTTGACAGTAAATTATTGTGTTATCATCTAGGGCTTTGCTGGGTACCTCTGAAAAATGCATCAAACAAATTGAACATAAACATACCCATTTGTACAAAGTGCTTCAGTTGTTTGCGCAGCATTTCTTCGCATCCAGTAATTTCTTTTCATCTGCATCATTTGACACAGTTATAGCTTCCACCAGTCTGTTTCAAAACGCAAGAGGGGCTTTAGTGGTACAAAAAAATCTGTATACTGTTCAGTTGGCCTGGAACAGTAGTCATTCATTCTCTGCTTACCTTTTCCATATTACTAACTCTCCTGTCAATTCAAACTCTGCCACACCCTCCTGTCCTGCAGTAACCCAGGCTTTCCCGCCTTTCAGCCACCTGACTCGTCCCCGCCCTCCTACTCACCTGTTCTGTCTTCCCTAATCAGCTCTTAGTATTTATTCCTGCCCATTTCCACTCATTCCCTGTCATATTGCCCATTGTGCTTTCTACACTGTGGCGTCCCAGCCTTTCTTGCCTCTTTTTTTTTGATTTTGACTTTGCCTGCTTCTTTTGCATTACCAGTTACGACCACTGCACACGCCCTCACTTCGTCTACCGTTTGCTTTTGCCTGCTTCGGCCTGCCCAGCCTTATTGAAGGTAAACTGTTTTGAACTTGTCTCTGAGTCATATTGAGTCCTCCTAAATCTGAGTTGTGACATTCTGTCCAATTCACTTGACTGCTGAGGCAAGAAAACAAGGCATTAATAAAGACCTGTATTACTATAACATCAAGCATAAAAGAAACAAGTTAAATACTTAGATCTGAAGTGCACTGCAGAGAAGAATGCAGGTCATATACTGTACATATATACATACATATATATAACACTAAATTGCACTAAAATATAGGGTTGGTGTATTCTGGTTTCGCTGACTTCCTTATCCCCCATCATGGCACTACCTGTTCCTGCTGTGGAATCATTTCAAGCAGTGCCTGAGAAACCCTGAAGCCAACAGACTTAAAGAGGAAAATAAACTTGACACATGTCTCACACAGCATGTCAAATGCTTGAGCTGTGCAGCAACTGTTAAAGGCATCAGAATTCACCTATAGCAATCTGAATCTGTCATCTTGTGTATAATTAGATGCTTTATAAATTAAATCCCTACTATATACATGCCAACATCACCATCACTGACACTAATCCATGCTTAGTAAATATATTTTTGTATGTATGTATATATGTATAGCACTAAAGGACTATTGCCAGGAAAAGTGGATACCATGTCAAGTAGATGAACTTTGGGTTTTTGTGAATCACTGCTGATGTATCTGACAATCCTGATTCAAGGCCATTTCTAGAGGATAGTGTTGCAATACCTGTCACTGTGTAATGTTTTTTAGTTTCTTTTAGCAGGTGAGAAGTATTGACAATTTGTGCAAATGCACAACCTGCATCTCTCATATCATTTTAAGTATGATAACTTAAGCAGAGTCCCATACATTTCTCTATAAATTCCCCCTGGCAACCTCTGTGCCTGCGTAGGACACTTAAGAGGACTATTTGTAGGTAGTGGATTACAGGATTTGCATTTTAAAGGGTGTCAGTGATGGCAGCTGGAGTAAATTGGTGAATGCAATTGTAGCAATGCAATCAAAGATCTGTGATGTGAGTCAAGCTCAGTAACCCTAAATGACACACCTGCTCCTGCCCACCACATATCCTCTAATACCTACAGCATGAGTCAGGCTATTACCCTGCAGCACCAGCAATATTTATATCACATCCTGTGTATGGACAAATGCATCACTGAATGTATAGTGCCTCACTGAAATATACCATGTAATGTGCATGCTGGATCAGACCTTTCTCTTTGCGCTCTTCTATGTGGGTGTTTTTCCCAGAACTGGCAACAAAAAAGACCAGTGCTGCAATAAACTAAGGACTATCTGGGCCCATTTCCCTCATCTTTTTCTTTAAAGCTTTTATGTAGAATACACTAGTTAAACAGATTAACATCCTGGCTGTGGGGTGAAATTGTTCCTTTAAAGTGCAAGGAAATTGCACTGGTCAAATTTCTCTGTACATGCCCAAAGTGCAATGATGGCAGGATTTCAGGAGAGAAATAATAGATTTTGTTTTGGTCTCCAGAGCAAGGAGTTGTCTCTCCCTGGGGCCTGCCAGGGTTAAACTCTGATCTGTACATGGTGACTTGCTCAAGGCTGTGTGTGGTGTTATTAAAAAGAAATATTGCTTCATAAAACCCCACTGCTCTGCAGCCATGACTCCTGTTAATGCAGACTGTTGCTGGAGTATGTTTCTAGGAGGGGAAATCTGATTTTTTTTTTCATCTGTCCTCTGATTGCAAAAGGCAATCTGTGTTTAGCAAATTAACCAATGACCCTTTGCTTCAAAGCTTGAAAGACACCTTTGAAAGACAAATGTTTACTTGTATTGTTGCTTTGAACAATTCACCTATGGGTATGTATAATAATGAACTTAGCAAGGGCAGTGACCAGTATTAATATAGACTCCAGTATCCCTCTCCACTGGTCATTTGCAATGCAATTTGCAATTAAAACAGTCTGCAGTGGCCATCTGGGCATGAGAGCACTGAGAATGAGCAAAGGACGTTTTACCCTTGAGTCCCATTGGTGGGGAAGATGTTTAAGCACTGAGCTCTGTTAGTTTTTTAAAGTGTAAATTTCTGGAAATATAATGTAGAGTTTACTCTAGAGAGAGATGGGAAATGTCTTGACCCATTTTAATTAACCTTTTTAATGAATCCCTATTCTTTAAATGATACATAAACCATGGGCTACATGGGTAGCTATAGGCTACATGAAGATTAAGTATTCAAATTAAATTACCGTATTGCACCGGTTCATTAAGTGGGACCAACAATGGATCTCAACCATCATCTCAAACCATCATCATTACCTAATATTGGATTCCTGTAATCAGACAGTCATCTGATGGGGGGTGGGTCGCCTACATGCAGCGGTGACTTGTATTTACAGCAGTGAACAGTCCGCGGAGTTTCAGGAGTCCGGTAGGTGGCAGTGAATGTTTTCAGGTAGGGAGGGCAGGTTGTATTTGGAGCGGGGTGGGGGGCGTGTGTTACTCTTGCACAAGCGCTCCCATGTTGCGTAGTCTGGAAACCTGACGTGGAGAGCAGCCGAGCAGTCATAGCGACAAAAGCGTGTGTGAGTGTGTGTGTGTGTGTCTGTGTGTGTATGCGAGAGAGTGACAGAGTTGCGGCAGGGCAGATCAGAAAGTGCCTGTGGCTGCTCTCTCGCCGGCTTGCGCGCTTCTCTCCGGACCAACAGAGTCGCACGAGACTGGCGACACGCTCCGAACCCGGGTCTGCCGGCCACGGGTGACCCGAGGATCCCACTTTGACGAACAGTCTCGGGCTCCGCTGGCAGAAAAGGTGGAACTAAACTACATTCATTGACTTGTGAGCGATGCACTGGCAGCATGGCCAAGTGGTTCAAGGAGCACCTAGGATTCAAAACTACCAAAGCACCCCCTCCGGCGCCTCCGAAACCGGACTACAGACACTGTCCCACCGGTGTGCCCGGTACGCCTGGCTACCAACAAACAAGCTCCGGCGCCACCTTCCCGAGCCCAGCTCAGCCGGACATCCTCGCTGCTTACAAACTTCAAAAGGAGCTGGACTTCGAGGACCCGTACACTCCAGGTGGAAATATTTCATTTGGCCCGAGCTTGAACACTGTTGGGTCGCCGGATATCAAGTACGTGTCACCAAAGCACCGACTTATCAAGGTGGAAACAATCGAAAAGAGCAGTCCAGCTCCGGGCGGTGGTGTCACAGTCACCCAGGCTGTTGCTGTAGGGAGTGTTAAATCTCCTACTTCACCTCCCTCGGACCACGACAACAAGGAGAAGGTGGGTGAAGTTAGTCCAAACATTAGTCTGTAGTTAAGCATAGAGCAACAACTTGCTAGCTTCTTAACTTGCCCATAGGCAGAATTTCTTAATTACAACCCAGCAGAAACAAAAAGCGTTTGTTCTCGTTAGCCCAATTAATCCTACTAATCATTTCCCTTTGAGTCTTATTTCTCTCAAAGGTAATAAATCACAGAAATACAGTTCTTTCTCATAAACCCGATGCTCATTTTTCCCATCGAATAAGCGTGGTTTGTTTATGAAGCACTTGACCTACTCATGAAAGGAATGAATCGTTACAACCGGCAGAACTTGTTATCACTGCCGCACAACGGCTGTCCGCGCGAGTTGCGACATCCACCTCTGTCAGACAACTAACATGCACTACAAGGAGTGCTGTGGAGGGAACAGTCTATGTCCTGTGTTGACACACAGACCACTATCTAAGCAGATATGCCTTTTAATACTAAAAACTGTGCGTCTTTTTGTCGACTTTGTGACACTTAAAGTACAGGCAAACTCTGCTCCACTGGGTGAAATGTGAGTGCTGTGTGTGTGTGTGTTTCTCAATCTGCAGTTTACTCCCAACCAACAATGTGATCTAGACTTATTCACTGTGTCTCTAATTTAACTTTAATCTAATCTTATTTAACTAGACAGATCAATTTAGTGAATGTTCTTTTTGCAGTGATGCCTGTTGCCTGCGGGGGATCACTTGTGATGAGTTTATGGATATATGGCTCTAATTTGAGCCTCTCTTGGCACTGCTCTCTGAATATAACAGCACAAACCTTGTGCCTTTTTGTTTTGTTTTTTTAACATCTTAAATTGTGGTTCCTGCATGGAGCTGGTTGCACACTCATCAGCACAAAGTGGCTGTGGAGACATCCAAGCAGAATGCATGCAGGCTGTGCATGGAGCATGCTGCCATGTCAGGCTTCCCAGGAATTCACACACAGCGGGTTCATTTGGAGAAACTTGAGACGCTCAGTGTCAGTGAGGTTAAGGACATACTGTATGATGAGTGCGATCCCGCTGAGGAATGTTTCAGTGTCTGTATAGCTGATGTACAGAGGGGAAAGCACGGCTATGTGAAAATACACACTGTGCACCACTGTTTCCTCCTCAGATCATGCCTTCAATCACAACTGTGCTCCAAAAATTTTTGTGGTCATCTTGATTTTCACCTTCATGTTACTTCCTCCTCCTCCTCCTCTTCTTGTGTTTGCTTTCGCACCTGTCTTGTGACATGTGGCGAGCTCACAGTTGGTTTTAGCTCAACACTTTCATTTGTATTCCACAGCATCTGCAACCTTTCACAAGAGTGCTGTGTGAAGGAAGACTGCTTTTTTTTCTTTTCTTTTTTTTTTCTTTTTCTGTTCGCCCCAGTTTTGATCACACAAAACACAACTGTTGCTGTCATCTATATTTCCCATATGACAACCAAGTGAAGCTCATAAAACTATCTTCTGTGCTGATTTTTGTTTTCCCAAACTGTCAGCCATGGTTTTCAGCAGCCTTTGTCAACTTGGTTTTGCAGGTTTAATATTCATACATAACATTATCGTTTATCAGCAAAACAAGCATGAAACCAGAATTTACAATTTTCACCCAGCCACTGCAGCTGTTCAAGCTGATTAAACAGATTATAGTTGTCTCTTGTTAATTAATGCTTATTTGGATCTCCTTCAGTCAGTAGTACAGTTGCCTTTGCCCCCCCCCCCCTCTCCATATGGCTTTAACATACACAAAGATGATTGTATAGTATGGTTTAAATACCTCACACCTAGCTGTGTGAATGATGTTATAGATGAGCTAAATCAGTACTGACAGCTGGTGGGCTTAAGCAATATGCTGAGGGAAGGGTTTAAGGGTTTTTTGTCAAGTGCTGAAGGTTAAATAAAAAGGGTGTAGTAGTGGAGGGGGAAGTGTGGTGAAGATTGTGTTTTTTTTTTTTGTAACTGTTGTCCAGGTTGTCCTTCTCATTCACACCACCCCTGATGGTGTCTGTAAGCAGGCGATATCTGGCACTGTTTTGCCACCTTTAGAATTAGTTTCTATCTGTCTTGTAGTGCATTAGTGAAGCTCCCACTGACTTGAAAATTATCAGTGCCGCATAATCAATCATGATAATCACCAAGCCTTAATTTGGCTGCGTACAAAAAAAAAAAAAGTCTCCATTTTGGCTTTTTACTTTGTGCTGAGTTGAGTGCTTTAACTGCATGGCTTACTGTCAGTCACCTGACACCCTCAGGAGGAAAGGAAAGTTTGCAGCAGTAATACAGCTCAAAAAACACGACGTGTTTCAGTCTTTGTTGTCACATTTATTTAGTTTCAAGGTTAAGTATCTCTCAAATGTTAAAAAAACGAGAGCATGTACACAAGTGTACCTCATTATCATTTCTAAAATAGTGGATGAATCATTTGCACTTAAAAACCTTTCCAAAAAGTCACCGTACTGGTTAGTAACGACACTGCTGTTGCTTCAAAGTGTTGCAAGGGTTTTTGTTCAAACTTTTGTAAGGATTACAGTTTGACCTGAAGCTGAGGATTTTCTAATTCAGCTGTGGCTGGCCATGATAATTGTTTGTAAATCCTTGTTAGACCGACACTCTCCAGGTGAGGATTGAAAGTTCTACTAATGCAGGATTGTCCACATATAGAGAAACTTTCAACACTCTCTGTGCATGGGAGGATGAACCGTTTTCAGTTTGTTTGATACACTCTGTCTTCAGGCTGGTGTTGAATGGTCAAAAATTTGTGGACAGCAGGTGTTCTCGTTTGATGAACTGTTATATCGTTACTTTTCTCAGGCAGTTTTTTTTTTTTGCAAACCAAGAAAGACGTCTGGATAGTGATTTCTAACCTATAGCACATACATGCATATTAGTGTGTTTGTAAATGGAGACAGTAGCTTTTCCAGAAACTGTGTTGTATTCTACTTGTTGTTCTACCCGTACAGACTAAAACGCTGACTGCTAGAGCCTGAGTAAAGAGCTATGTGTCTTAACAGCATTGCTCGGTTACATTGATGTTTTAATTACTTGACTCATGAATGCTAATTATATAACTGCTTAGCCCAGGCCTGAAATGCCAATAGCAGCATCAAGTGAATTTCCCCAAGTCCATTTCTATTCACCAGGCTTCCATGGGGGAAGAAGCAAGATAAAGAAAGTTTTGATATGCAATGATATACTGTATATCTGTTCCACAAATTATAATACATCTGCTGCATTTTCATAGGTGTCCTATTTCATCTCATCTTCATATGGAGCTTTATTTTATGCACATAACTTGTAGTTTTGAGTTTTGGAGGCATTTTGATGTGTTTTGTTTTCAATGATGCCAAGCCCTTCATGGTAGAATGAGTTGAGCGAGATGATCAATTATCATCCTGCCTTGGAGCTAATTAAAGGCCTCATCTCCCAGCTCATCGCTCTACTCAGCACTAACCTAACTTCCCTCAAGGACAACCGAAAGTGATGACGGGCTCCACTTGGAAATGTGTAAACAAAAGCAGTGGCGCGGAGCTGACAGACTGCGGTATCCTTGTGAAGTGCAGCCCGTCATCATCAGTATCTGTCCGTGCACCTGGGAGACTGCTCTTCCAATCTAACTTCAGCTCCCTCCAGGGCTCGGGGTCCCTTTGACTCCTTGATCCTACGAGCCAGCTCACATACCTATCTATAGAGGCATGCAGTTGCATCAGAGGCCCAGACAGTTGCTGTGCAGCCAACAGAGGCATCTGGATCGACAGATTGCCTCTGTGCTTATTTTCTTACATCCCTTCCATGCATTTTATTTTACTTTATTTTTTTACAAAATGTAGTTCAGTAATTCAATTTATTATGCTGGTGGTGGAAACCATATTTGTCTCCGCCAAGAAGGTCACATTTTTGATCCTTTATGTGTATGTGTTTGTTTGTCAGTATCTTAAAAATCACTCAACACATCTCAGTGATATTTGGTGGAAAGTTAGTCCATAGGTCAAGGAAAAATGTATCAAATCTTGGTGAGGATAGTGCCCCCATAGGGCCGTTATAAAGCACTTTCTATTTTCGCTCATGAGGCATGAAGCAACATCTCCTTCTCATGCATTCCTTAGTTCAAGAAAAATCTATCAAAATATGTCCTTCCCTTTTCCGCTTGAAGATATTTTCTGCCATTTTGAATTTTTTCACCATCCTACATGTAAGAACAGAAAGAAAGTTGTCTTGAGGAAGCTGTAATCTGTCATTTTTCCACACATGCAGGCTAGAGCAAAGATGTCCAATGTCAGATTTGTGAAATATTTTCATCTCTTCTTGATATGCTGTGAAAATCAAAGCAATTGTGAACTTAATATGAATGCAACTACAATATTACTGACATAAAGACATTAGACAGCACAGGTGTGACCCATTTAATCTGATCAACATTTCTCAGTAACAGGATGCAGAGAGCATCTCCAACCATGGTGGATGTGCCGTCTTTACTGTTTTACCGAACTCCAACATGCACATCATTTCAGCTCAAACAAACTATGCAGAATATTAGTCAGAAGTCACCTGTTCTGGGGGTAAAGATTAGACACTGTATTTCATAGTTTAAAAATATGTCAAATTCAGTGAATACTAGTTAATACAAAGGCAGTGATCTTACATAACAGGCTGCCGTAGAATAGATGTTGGTTTCTCTTTTGTCTTTTGCATACCTTTGAATCCATTTGGATCAGATTGAATGTAATGTGTAATGATCAGAATGAATTTGAGATGGTGTGCTGCAGTATGTGACCATCCATGCTACAGTTCTCCAGCATGAGGCTTGTTTGACTGGCCGGCAGATTATAGTGCCTGTATTGCATGGCTGAAGTTGCCTCGGCTTCATTTCCCCACAATGTGAATATCTTCTCGTGGCCTTTCACCCTGGCACTCCAGACATCAGTGCATTTTTATAAAATGCATCCCACTGGCCTTTCATGCTCTCATATCTGCCAGTGATAGGAGAAATGTCAAGCACCG